GAATAGAATAGAATAGAATAGAGCTTTATTGAAACCGTATTAAAAATTTGGTTGGTAATATTTAGTGTTTCAATACATGGACGTTTTTTTAGTTCCACGATTGTAATCATAATATTATCTTTTATTGCAATTGAAATCACTTTGGAATATTGATGTGAAAGAACAATCAAGTAAAAATAAATTGAAATATTTTTTTATTCAACAATAAAACACAATGAAATAAAATGAATGTATATACGTGTAATAAAATATACCTGGTGTACGTGATATGTACGTCATCTATAACGTTAACACTCTTATTAGTCTGTCTTATATGGCAATTTTACTGGATTGTTGTCACTTACCTGGAACACTAGATGTATTTATACAACACTGTCAGCAGAAATCAACAGTATATGACCAACAATTTATTAAAAACTAATACATAGCAAATAATGCATCTCGGGTGAAATTGGAAATTCTCCTTGATAGTCGATGTTAAAATGAACATGATTTTGGTCACGATTAATAAATATACCACCATACTACATGTAGCATGAAAAAGTAGCATAAAATATCATCGTAAATTGTTCTCAAACGTCACAAACTTTGCGCTATTCAAAAAAATATAAACCAGGCAGTGTCCAAATTACATTGGGATTCCTGTGTAAAAATAATCAAGAACATAATTAAAAAACAGTATATTTCCTTATACTTATATATGATCCAAAGAATTTCTGTAACTAGAGTCAGAACAAGTAATCGCAATTTAGCCATTGAAAAAGGAAGACATGCCCATCTAAAAACACCATTAGAAAATAGGATTTGTAGGACATTGTTTATTCCATGACATAGAAGATGAAATACTAGTACACTTTACTTTGGTATGTCCAAAATATCAAACACACAGAAAGGAAACTCTCTCCAATATTATATTCCCAACAGAAACCATCAGTAATCTGCAGAAATTCGTTCATTTAATGAAAAGTAGTGACTAAAATACAAATAATACTAATTATTATTATAAAGGTAACATCACAGGGACTACTACTTAAATATTTTGATTGTGTTAATATGCAGGAAAAAGTACGTTTTAAGTGAACCAATTGCTAACCAAGATTGTATAATATATAGGGCTGGTTATTTCACA